GTGTCTTTCCTCATCTCTTATTACAGTCTTTGGTTTAAAATCTAATTTGTCTGGGGCGTCTGGGTGGCTCAGTTGGTTAAGCGACTGCCTTCGGCTCAGGTCATGATCCTGGAGTCCCGGGATTGAGTCCCACATCGGGCTCCCTGCTCAGCAGGGAGTCTGCTTCTCCCTCTGACCCTCTCCCCTCTCATGCTCTCTCTCTATCTCATTCTCTCTCTCTCAAATAAATAAAATCTTTAAAAAAAAAATCTAATTTCTGGTATAAGGATTGCCACCCCAGCTTTCTTTTGATGTCCATTAGCATGGTAAATGGTTTTCCACCCCCCTCACTTTCAATCTGGTGGTGTCTTTGGGTCTAAAATGAGTCTGTTGCAGACAGCATATCAATGGGTCTTGTTTTTTTTTTATCCAGTCTGATAGCCTGTGTATTTTGATTGGGGCATTTAGCCCATTTGCATTCAGGATAGCTATTGAAAGATATGAATTTAGTGCCATTGTATTGCCTGTAAGGTGACTGTTACTGTATATTGTCTGTGTTCCTTTCTGGTCTATGTTACTTTTAGGCTCTCTCTTTGCTTAGAGGACCCCTTTCAATATTTCTTGTAGGGTTGGTTTTGTGTTAGTAAATTCCTTTAGTTTTTGTTTGTCCTGGAAGGTTTTTTTTTTTTTTTTTAAGATTTTATTTATTTATTCATGAGAGACAGAGGGAGAGAGAGAGAGAGAGAAGCAGAGGGAGAAGCAGGCTCCCAAGGAGCAGGGAACCCGATGTGGGACTTGATCCCAGGACCCTGGGACCATGACCTGAGCCGAAGGCAGATGTTTAACCATCTGAGCTACCCAGGTGCCCTGTCCTGGACGGTTTTTATTTCTCCTTCTATTTTCAGTGACAGCGTAGCTGGATATACTATTCTTGGCTGCATATTTTTCTCTTTTAGTGCTCTGAGTATATCATGCCAGTCTTTTCTGGCCTGCCAGGTCTCTGTGGATAGTCTGTTGCCAATCTAATGTTTCTACCATTGTAGGTTACAGATCTCTTCTCCCGAGCTGCTTTCAGGATGTTCTCTTTGTCTCTGAGACTCGTAAGTTTTAGTGTTAAATGTCAGGGTGTTGACCTATTTTTATTGATTTTGAGAGGGGTTCTCTGTGCCTCCTGGATTTTGATGCCTGTTTCCTTCCCCACATTAGGGAAGTTCTCTGCTATAATTTGCTCCAATATATCTTCTGCCCCTCTCTCTCTTCTTCTGGGATCCCAATTATTCTAATATTGTTTCATCTTATGGTATCACTTATCTCTCCAATTCTGCTCTCATGATCCAGTAGTTGTTTATCTCTCTTTTTCTCAGCTTCTTTATTTTCTATCATTTGGTCTTCTATATCACTAATTCTCTCTTCTGCCTCATTTATCCTAGCAGTTAGAGCCTCCATTTTTGATTGCACCTCATTAATAGCCTTTTTGATTTTGGCTTGGTTAGATTTTAGTTCTTTTATTTCTCCAGAAAGGGTTTCTCTAATATCTTCCATGCTTTTTTCAAGCCCAGCTAGTATCTTTATAATCGAGGTGATGGTTATTTTATTATCTAAACCCTGGGGCCAGACTCTGAAGTTCTCTTTCTTTCATAACCTGTATCAAACCATGAAGAAGTCCTTTTGGCTCTACATTCGAAATTCAGTCTGGGGGCGCCTGGCTGGTTCGGTTGGTTAAGCATCTGACTTCGGCTCACATCATGATCCTGGGGACCTGGGATTGAGCCACACGTTGGGCTCCTCGCTTGGCTTGTCCCTTTCCCTCTGCCCCTCCCCAACTCATGCACTCTCTCTTGCTCTCTCTCTCAAATAAATTAAAAAAAAAAAATTCAGTCTGAATACGTCTCACCACCTGAACTGCTTGCTCCACATTGATCCAAGCCACTGTCCCCTCACTTAGATGACTGTTTGCCCTCCTGCACCCCTAGTCTCTTTTCAACATAGCAAACCAGGGTGATCCTTTAAAAAAAATAGTTTTATAATTAACACACCATACAGTTCACATATTTAAATTGTACAATTCAATATTTTTTCACATATGCACAGAGATGTGCAACCATTACCACAATCTAAATTTCAAACATTTTTGCTCCCCCGCCCCCAAAACAGCCTTGTGCCCACTTGAAGTCACTTGCTGTTCCGCCCCTCCTCACGCCAATCCCCAGCCCCTGGCAACCACTAATCTACTTTCTATTTTGGATATTCCATATAAGTGAATTTTATCATATATGGCCTTTGTGCATGACTTCTTTCCTCCCAACATAATGTTTTCAAGTTTAGCCTTATTGTAGTATGTATTAGTACTTCATTCCTTTTTTTTTTTTTTTTTTTAATTTATTTCTGAGAGAGGGAGAGAGCATGTGTGCATGCAGTGGGGAGGGGCAAAGGGGGGAAGAAGAGAGACAAGCAGACTCTGTACTGAGCACAGAGCCCAATGTACGGCTCAACTTCATGACCCTGAGATCATGACCTGAGCAGAAACCAGGGGTCAGACGCTCAACTGACTGAGCCACCCAGGTGTCCCAGTACTTCATTCCTTTTTATTGCAAAGTAATATTTCATCACATTTAATGCATCACTACATAAGTTGTTACACATTGGGTTGTTTGCACTTTTTGGTTATTATGAATAATGCTGCTATGAACATTTACATACGTGTTTTTGTTAGGGATGTTTGTTGAAATTTCTCTTGGGTATGTACCTAGAAGTGGAGGGCTGGCTCGTATGGTAACTGTATTTAACCTCTTAAGGAACTACCAGATTGTTTTCCAAAGTGGCTGCACCATATTACATTCCCACCAGCAATCTGTGAGGGTTCCAATTTTTCCACATCCTTGCCAACTTTTGTTATTGTCTGTCTTTCTGATTATAGCTGTCCTAGTGGTTATGGAATGGTATCTCATTGTGGTTTTGATTTGTATTTCCCCAGTGACTAAGGTTGCAACGTGATCCTTTTAAAACACAAGTCATATCATGTCACTTCTGTGCTGAAAGCTGTAATGACTTTCCATTTCACTCAGAGTGACAGCCAACGTCCTTATGATTGCCTGCAAGTTCTGTATGGTCTGCTCACTCCCTTTCCCCCTTTGACCTCTCTAACCTCATTTTCTATTACTCAGATACTTGTTTTGGTTTTTTCCTCCAACCTCACTAGCTCTTTGTTCTTGCTTGAATGGGCCATATGTACTTTTGCCTAATTGCCTTTGCCTTACTTGGAAAGATCTTTCTTCAGATATCACTATGGTTATCCACTAAGTCTCATTTTCATTGAGACCTGTGGTGACTGTTTAAAATTGCAACTCCATACCACCCCCCTTCACTTTCCAGCTGTCACTCCTGATCTCCTTCGCCTGGTCCATTCTTTTCCCACGATACTTGCAATTTAATTATTCTGTTTCTTGGTTATTGTCTGTCTCTCTATAATAGAATGTAAATTTCATGAGGGGAGGGATCTAGAACAGGGCCTGACATATACTTTTATATTTGTTCAGTAAAATACAGTTTATCCATAAATAACTTCACATGAATAAGCATTGTACCATTTGGTATTTAGTAGAGCCAAAAAAAAAAATCTGAGTGAAGAATATTTAACTATTGGTTGAAAATTAAGTTTATGGACAAAGCTATGTGCATCTATAAAACACTGGACAAGTTATATGTTCTTTCTGTTCAAAATTTGTGTTATAAAATGAAGGATTTGAATCATTGGTTTTCAGACACTTGTCTGCCTCTTTTTTGAAGATTTTATTTATTTATTAGAGAGAGAGGGAGAGAGCACAAATGGTCAGGGCAGAGGGAGAGGGAGAAGCAGACTCCCCGCTGAGTGCAGAGTCCGACAGGGGGCTCCATCCCAGGACCCTGAGACCACGACCTGAGCCAGTCAGCCACTTAACCAGCTGAGCCACCCAGGCACCCCTGTCTGCCTTTTTGAATTAGCTAGGGCTTTTTGAAAATATAGATTCTTGGGACACCTTGGTGGCTCAGTCGGTTAAGCATCTGCCTTCGGCTCAGGTCATGATCCCAGGGTCTTGAGATGAGCTCCGCATCGGGCTCTCTGCTCAGCGGGGAGCCTGTTTCTCCTTCTGCCTCTTCCCCTCCCCCTGCTTGTGCTCTCTCACGCTCTCTCTCTCTCTGTCAAATAAATAAATAAAATCTTTAAAAAAACGTAATACTTTAAATTGGGGTGAGAGAAATAGGTTCAGTCCCGTGAAAAAGAAAGGGGCCAAGTTCTGTCACCACAGTTTTGGTGCTCTGGGGAGAAAATATATTAAAATTTGACTGTAGTTGAAAACAAATTTTAAGTTGGAGTTCTAAATATAGATTAAATATAGTCAAGAGTTACCGAGCTTGATGGATCTCAGGAAACATCTAGTCCATTGCTGTCATTTTGTGGATAATAAAGATGAGACAAGAACAGTGAAGAAGCCAGTGTTAATAGAAACCAAGTTTTCTGACTTTAATATATTTGCCCATATACTAATTAAAAATTCTATCTTCAATATGGATCCTAACTTCCTACCTTCTTTAGACTACAAACTTTAACATGGCACTAGTACAGCCATCTGGTATTTTAATTTAATGGATGGAGAAAACTTTATCGCATATGATGTAATATTTAGTTTTACTGGGTGAAATGAGAAACACAAAATGTTGACAGTAGTGGTATCTAGGAAAATGAATTACAGGTTGTAAGAAAAAAATAGCATTCTTAGAAATTTCTGAAGGCAAGGTTTTACTTTTTTTTTTTTAAAGATTTTATTTATTTATTTGACAGATAGAGACACAGCGAGAGAGGGAACACAAGCAGGGGGAGCGGGAGAGGGAGAAGCAGACTTTCTGCCAAGCAGGGAGCCCGTTGTGGGGCCTGATTCCAGGACCCTGAGATCATGACCTGAGCCGAAGGCAAACGCTTAACGACTGAGCCACCCAGGCGCCCCAGGGTTTTACATTTTTATTAGTAATTTCTGTTTTGACAGATTATTTGGAAGCTCGGAAGTGAAATTCTGTTTTATCATCCCAAAAGCAACGTGGAGACTTTCAATACCTTTGCTGACAGGATGAAAAATATTGGTGTCCTGAATTACTTAAAGGTGAGAATGCAGGTTTTGTGAATTTACATTTGCAGTGTTCATTTTTTAAAGAAATTGTTTGTCTCAGTAATAAGGTAGGTAAAAGATACGGAAAGGGTGGGACACCTGGATAGATAAAAGGGGCTGAAAGGAAGTTGTGTTGTGAAAATCATTTGCTTCTCCATTTCCTGCTACCTACCTTGTTCTCTGAGACAAAATACCTTCTCTTTGTATATCTCTGGCTGCCAAAACCAGTCCTCGAGTGATGGCCCTTGTGCTTCTTTATGGTGATGGGCCAAATTCTAACATTTTTGCTTAAGTCGTTTCAGTCATTTGCTTAAGTCATTCTCTAGGAATTGGTGCTTTTGGGGAAAAAGGAAAGAGCTAAAACAAATTGGGAATTTAAATATGTGAAAATGGGTTTTTTCCCCAGCCTTATTAAGATAATAATCAACATATAACATTGTGTGAGTTTAAGGCGTACAGTGTGATGATTTGATCCATGTATATATTGTGAAATGTTTACCACATAAGGTTAGTTAACACGTCCTTCACCTCACATAGTACCACTTTGTTGTTGTTGCTATGGTGAGAACATTAAAGCTCTACTCTCATAGCAACTTTCAAGTATCCAATCCAGTGTTACTCATTATGGTTACCATCTTGTACATTGGATCCTGGAACTTACTCATCTTCTCACTGAAAGTTTGTGCCCTTTGACCTACATCTCCATTTCCTCCACCCCTCAGCCACCATTCTACTCTCTGAGTTTGATGGTTTTAGATTCCACAGGTAAATGGTGAGATCATACAGTATTTGTCTCTCTCTGACTTATTTCACTTAACATAATGCCCTCAGAGTCCATCCGTTTTAACCAAAATGGCAGGATTTCCTTCTTTTTTTATTATTGAATAATATTTCCATTGTGCATATGTGTGTATGTAGACATATATGACATTTTATGTATTCATCCATTAGATGGACACATAGCTGTTTCCGAGTCTTGGATATTGTGAATAATGCTGCAGTGAACGTGGGAGTATAGAAATCTCTAAGATAGTGACTTCATTTCCTTTGGATGTAGACCCAGGAGTGGAATTGCTGGATCATATGTAGTTCTTTTAGTTTTTTTGAGAAACCTCTATCCTGTTTTCCATAGTGGCTGTATTTATATTCTCAACAACAGGGTACACGGTTCCATTTTCTCCACATCTTAGCCAGCATTTGCTATCTCTTGTTTTGATAATAGCCATTCTGATAAATGCGAGATGGTAGTTCATTCCGTTTTTGATTTGCATTTCCCTAATGGCTGGTGATGTGGAACACCTTTTTATGTACTTGTTGGCCAATTGTGTGTCTTCGGAGAAATGTCTATTCATGTCCTCTGCCCATTTTTTTTTAAAAATGTTTAAAAATGTAGTTTTAAAAAATATATATTTTTTTGGTTTTATTTATTTAAGTAATCTCTACACCCGTCGTGGGGCTCAAACTCACAACCCTGAGATCAAGAGTTGCATGCTCCACTGACTGAACCAGCCAGATACTCCTGGGTTTTTTTGCTTTGGAATTGTATGAGGTCTTTATTTATTTTGGATATTAATACCATATCAGATATCTGACTTGCAAGTATTTTCTCCCATTCCATAGACTACCTTTTCATTTTGTTGATTGTTTCTCTTGTTGTATAGAAGCCTTTTAAGTTAATATGGTCCCATTTGTTGATTTTTGCTTTTGTTGCTTGTGCTTTTGTTGTCATATAAAAAAAATCATTGCCAAGACCAGTGTCAGGGACCTTTTTTCCTGTGTTTTCTTCTCGGAGTTTTATGGTTTCATGTCTTAACATTTAAGTCTTTGATTCATTTTGAGTTAGTTTTTGTGAGTAATATAAGATAGAGGACCAATTTCATTATTTTGAGAATATCCAATTTGCCCATCACCTTTTATTGAAGAGACTGTCTTTTCTCTCTTGAATATTCTTGGCTTCCTTCCTAGTCAAATGTTAGCTGACCATAAATGAGTGATTTTATTTCTGGGTTTTTGATTCTGTTCCATTGATCTATGTGTCTGTTGTTATGCCAGCACCATACTCCTTTAATTACTATAGCTTTATAATATAGTTTGAATCAGGAAGTGTGATGCCTCCAGCTTTGTTCTTAGGATTGCTTTGGCTATTCAGGGTCTTTTGTGGTTCCATACAAACTTTAGGATTGTTTTTTTCTGTTTTTGTGAAAAATGCCACTGGAATGTTGACAGGATTACATTGACTTTATAGATGGCTTTGGGTAGTATGGACATTTTAGCAATATTAACTCTCTAATCCATTCATAAAAATGTGTTAATATTTTTTATTTATTTATTAGAGAGAGAGAGAGAGAGACAGCGAGAGAGGGAACACAAGCAGGGGGAGTGGGAGAGGGAGAAGCAGGCTTCCCACTGAGCAGGGAGCCTGTTGCGGGGCTTGATCCCAGGACCCTGGGATCATGACCTGAGCTGAAGGCAGATGCTTAACGACTGAGCCACCCAGGTGCGCCCCTCTCCAGCTGTTTTTTTTTTAAAGTCTCATCCAAAAACATTCAGATGTTTCCAGAATGTTAGGTATCTCCCTCTCTGTGGTATATATTTGCCTGAAAGAGGAGTTTTTCAATAAGTTTTAAAATGCTTTGCTTTTTAATTTTTTTCAATATCTCTAAATAAAGTTATTGAAACACAGCCACACCCATTCATTTCATTGTCACAGCTGCTGCTTTCAGCGTGACAGATGACAGAGTTGAGTAGTTGTGACAGAGACCATATGGCCTGCAAAACTATAATATTTACTCTGTGGTTCTTTTTTTATTTTGTTTTTAAAGATTTTATTTATTTATTTGACAGAGAGACAGCGAGAGAGGGAACACAAGCAGGGGGAGTGGGAGAGGGAGAAGTAGGCTTCCCGCTGAGCAGGGAGCCTGACGCGGGGCTCGATCCCAGGACCCCAGGATCATGACCTGAGCCGAAGGCAGATGCTTAACGACTGAGCCACCCAGGCGCCCCTGTTTTGTTTTGATTTTTCCTCTTTTCTAATTCTTTTATCGTGGTAAAATATATGCAACATAAAATACGTTATTTTAACCAGTGTAAGTGTACAATTCAATGGCATTAATAACATTCACTGTGTTGTGCAGCCATCACCAGCATTTCCAAAACTTTTTCATCATCCCAAATGTAAGCTCTTTACCCATTAAGCAATTACTCCCCATTCCGTCTTCCCAGCCCCTGGTAACCTAATCTATTCTTGTTCTATGAATTTACCTATTCTAGATATTTTATGTAAGTGGAATCACATGGTATTAGATCCATTGTGTTTAGCTTATTTCACTTATCATAATGTTTTCAAGATATATTTATATCGTGGCATGTATTAGAACTTTTTAATGGCCTTTTCTGACTCATTAGCATTCTATTGTATGTACCTATCACATTTTGTTTATGCATCTGTTGTTGGGTTGTTTCCACCTTTTGGCTGTTTTGAATAATGCCACAGTGAACATTGGTCTACAAGTATCTGTTTGAGTCCCTGTTTTGAATTCCTTTTAGTATATACCTAGGAGTAGAGTTGTTGGGTCATGTTTTATACATATAAAATGATAAAAATGTATATATAAGTAAATATAAAATGTACAAAGATAACTCTGCGTTTAACTTTGCACCCTTTTACATTCTCACTGCTTTCTTATTTTGAAAAAAAAAAAAGATTTTCCCCAGTTTAGGATTCTTATTAGAAAAAATTTTCTGAGTTTCTATTTATGTGCCAGGTGCTCCCTTAGGATCTTATTCTCTGGTAACCCAGGTCTACTATGAGTGAAATTTAAATGGAAGCAGCTTATGGTTCTGCGTAAGGAAGAACTTTCCAACTGAACAGTTGGAAAAAGGAGTGTCCTGTCTCGGTGTGTGCTCCCTTCTCTTTCAAGAAGAAACTGGGTAGCCATTTGATTGGGGAGGGAAGGTCGAATTTTAACTAAATTATTGGTTGGGTTCTTTTAAGCCCATTGAATCTATTCAGTTGAAGTGAAGAAACCTGAAAGAAATCTTATTTCACACTCCAGAGTCTGAGGGTGATAATTAAGATAGGCAGTAAAACATTTCTTGTTGATAATTAAAAAAAAACCACTTACTGCTATTTTCCAGATAATGTCCTAGACTAGACCTTGCCACAGATGGAGACAGGAGCATACATTATTACGGGTACCCGAGTAGAAACGCCAGATACAGTGAGAAGGCAAAGGAGGGGAATGGTCAGCTCTCTGGAATTGGAGAGTGTTGGGAGTGAATGAGTAGGGGAGTCAGGGAAAGAAGTGATGCTTCAGATAAGTCTGCAAAAGCGAGTGGGTGTTCACTGGGCGTTTTAGGCGAGAGGGTGGACAGGAATGGCAGGCTTGATGAGAGTTTGATAGCCCTGTATCCAGTGCTTTTCGTCTAAAAGTTAATTGGGTAGAAGCCAGGGGAAGTCGGCTGGGCCCTCTGTGCCATCCCCAAGGAACTTAGATTTTATTCTGTAGGCAGTGGGAACCATTGAGGGGTTTTATACAAATGAGATATCTTTGGCAGCCACATGGAAGGTGGATTGTAGTAGGGGCAGGATTGGAGAGACCAGTTGAAAAATTGTTGTGATAGTTTGTGATGAAGGCCTTGAACTCTGACTCTACTCACATGATTAACTGTACTTCCCATTATTCCCCTCCTTAGTCCTCCCTACTTGGGATGCTCATTCTTTGTGTATTTTTTCTTACGGCTTCTGTATCAGGCATTCGCTTTTCCATCTGAACCAATGCCATTCTTTAGTACTCCTTAAGATGTTTTCTCTGAGCTTATATGACATGTATAAAATAATACATTAATCACCTGCTATGGGCCAAAGTAGGCACTAGGTGGTATGCAAATATTATCTCATTTAATCCTCATAACAGCCTTCCGAAGGGTTAATGTTCCATATAGCCCGTAAGACTCACAAAGGGCAAGTAACATACTCGGCTTTCTATAGCTTTAGGTAGCATCCGAACCAGGACTATCTGTCTTGAAAGCCCATTTGTTTCACTGAGTTTATATAATTTAGCTCATTTACATAATGTTAATTATTTCATGTATCTTTCCTCTTTGCTAAATTGACATTTTTGATGACAGAGGCAATGTTGTTACATCATCTGTGTCCTACTAAGGTCTTAGCCCATTATATATTAACTGAGTTTTTGGATTAATGGATATCTAATGACCTATTTGGGCTTTTTCTTATTGTTGCAGATCTCCTTGCAACATGCATTATACCTTCTGCATCATGGAATGCTTGAAGATGCTAACAGAAATCTCAGTCATGCAGAGACGTGGAGATATGGTGAAAAATCGTCTTCCCAGGAAGTGTTAATCAACCTTATACAGGCCTATAAAGGGCTTTTGCAGTATTATACTTGGTCTAAAAAGAAAATGGAATTGTCTACGCTTGGTGAGTGAGGAAGACTGTACTTGTGTCAATGAGACTGAATCACAGGGACAGTCAAGATCTTTTTTTTAACTTAAATTCAATTAATTAACATAGAGTATATCATCCAGTTACCCCATCCCCTCACCTCTCTCCCCTCCAGCAACCCTCAGTTTGTTTCCTATGATTAAGAGTCTCTTTTGGTTTGTCTCCCTCTCTGATTTCATCTTGTTTTATTTTTCCCTTCCTTCCCCTATTATCCTCTGTTTTGTTTCTTAAATTCCACATGAGTGAGATCGTATGATAATTGTCTTTCTCTGACTGACTTATTTCGCTTAGTATAATACCCTCTAGTTCTATCCACGTCATTGCAAATGGTAAGATTTCATTTTTTGGTAGCTGAGTAATATTCCATTGTATATATAGACCACATCTTTATCCATTCATCTGTCGATGGACATCTGGGCTCTTTCCATAGTTTGGACATTGCTGCTATAAACATTGGGGTGCAGGTGCCCCTTTGGATCCCTACATTTGTATCTCTGGGGTAAATACCCAGTAGTACAATTGCTGGGTCATAGGGTAGCTCTGTTTTCAACTTCTTGTGGAAACTCCATACTGTTTTCCAGAGTGGCTGCACCAGCTTGCATTCCCACCAGTGTAGGAGGGTTCCCCTTTCTCCGCATCCTCACCAACATCTGTTGTTTCCTGACTTGTTAATTTTAGCCATTCTGACTGGTGTGAGGTGGTATCTCTTTGTGGTTTTGATTTGTATTTCCCTGATGCCAAGTGATGTCGAGCATTTTTTTCATGTATCTGTTGGCCATTTGTATGTCTTCTTCGGAGAAATGCCTGTTCCTGTCTTCTGCCCATTTCTTGATTGGCTTATTTGTTCTTTGGGTGTTGAGTTTGGTAAGTTCTTTATAGATTTTGGATACTAGCCCTTTATCTGATATGTCATTTGCAAATATCTTCTCCCATTTTGTCAGTTGTCTTTTGGTTTTATCGACTGTTTCCTTTGCTGTGCAAAAGCTTTTTATCTTGATGAAGTCCCAATAGTTCATTTTTACCCTTGCTTCCCTTGCCTTTGGAGACATGTCTGGCAAAAAGTTGCTGCGGCTGAGGTCACAGAGGTTGCTGCCTGTGTTCTCCTCTAAGATTTTGATGGATTCCTGTGTTACATTTAGGTCTTTCATCCATTTTGAGTCTATTTTTGTGTATGGCATAAGGAAATGGTCCAGTTTCATTCTTCTGCATGTGGCTGTCCAATTTTCCCAACACCTTTGTTGAAGAGACTGTCTTTTTTCCATTGGATATTCTTTCCTGCTTTGTCAAAGATTAGTTGACCGTAGAGTTGAGGGTCCATTTCTGGGTTCTCTATTCTGTTCCGTCGATCTGTGTGTCTGTTTTTGTGCCAGTACCGTACTGTCTTGGTGATTACAACTTTGTAATAGAGCTTGAAGTCCAAAATTGTGATGCCACCAGCTTTGGTTTTCTTTTTCAACATTCCTTTGGCTATTTGGGGTCGTTTCTAGTTCCATACAAATTTTAGGATTCTTTGTTCCAGCTCTGTGAACAAAGTTGATGGTATTTTGATAGGGATTGCATTGAATGTATAGGTTGCTCTAGGTAGCATTGACATCTTCACAGTGTTTGTTCTTGCAATCCATGAGCATGGAGTGTTTTTCCATTTCTTTGTGTCTTCCTCAACTTCTTTCATAAATGTTCTATAGTTTTCAGAGTACAGATCCTTTGCCTCTTTGGTTAGGCATTTATTCCTAGGTATCTTACAGTTTTTGGTGCAATTGTAAATGGGGTCAACTCCTTAATTTTGCTTTCATCTGTGTCATTATTAGTTTATAGAAATGCAACTGATTTCTGTGCATTGATTTTATGTCCTGCCACTTTGCTGAATTCTTGTATGAGTTCTAGCAATTTTGGGGTGGAGTCTTTTGGGTTTTCCACATAGACTGTCATGTCATCTGCCAAGAGTGAGAGTTTACCTTCTTTGTTGATTCAGATACCTTTTATTTCCTTTTGTTGTCTGATTGCTGAGGCTAGGGCTTCTAGTACTATGTTGAACAACAGTGGTAATAGTGGGCAAGGGACACTCTGAATCTTAAGGAGTAATCTCATTCCCTTACTTCCAAGCCCGGTTCTTCCTAGATACTTCAAAGAGCAGACATTTCTATTGATGTAAACTTTTTGATCATCCTTTGTAGTATTGGTTTTTATCAAACTTTTCAGACATATATTAGATGATTTGTAAATTAAGTCCATTACCATCTTAGATTTATTGCTTTTTAAAATATTTCTAAGGTTACAAATTTTTTTCAGTAGACATTATTGCCTATGATAAGTATTTCTTCCTGTGTGTTTAGAATGGAGTTTAGTTTGTTTTCTAATTTTTTTAAGCTGTTTATTTATTTATTTTTAAGTAATCTCTGCACTCAATGTGGGGCTTGAACCCACGACCCTGAGATCAAGAGTTGCATGCCCTTCTGACTGAGCCAGCCAGGTGCCCCTGTTTTATAATATTACTCATCAGAATAAAATGTTTAGAGAATAGGGCAAGGTAAAATTGTTTTATTTCTGTACAAAGATCAGAACAGATAGTCTTCTTTATTGACCACACCAGGAATTGGCTGTGTGTCCTTACTTCCCAGTTCCCTCTCTTACTTCCAGTGGTGGTAGTATCCTCTCCTCCCCACAGGTTTTTGTTTGATTCTCTGCATCTTCCTTCCCTTGTATAGTTTTTCTCCATAGCTTCTCTAGGATTAACCCTTTTAATTTTCTCATCCCCCATCCAAATCTCAGTCCCTGCATATATTGGCTCATAAGTATAAGCAGTGATTCCTTATTATCCTGATGTGGGAAGTAGTATTTCCTTTGTCTCACGGGCATGGAGGTTCACTAATCCTAAAATTCCTTTCCCTCTTTCTGAATAGGATGTCTCCCAGGACACTTCGGAAATACTGTCTTCATCATGATAAGCTTGCCCCCCATTTGCAATGCTGTCTGCCCTGCAGGACTCGTTAGACCGGTCATTCCCATGCCACAACACTTATATGTTAGCTGCGTGTTCAGCCTATATCATTCAGCTCTTTATCACTTGTTTTTCAATTGTCCTAAGTTTTTTCATGTCCATTTTATGTTGTATCTCTTCTTCTAGACTAATCGGTCTTCTGAGGTCACATACCTCTCTTATGTCTTTTGTTAGTCTTGCCATAGTGCCTGGTATAATATTTCTTTTAAAAAACGCCTGAGTGGCTCAGTCGGTTAAACATCTGCCTTCAGCTCAGGTCATGATCCCAGAGTGCTGGGATTGAGTCCTGCATCAGGCTCCTTGCTCAGCAGGGAGTCTACTTCTCCCTCTGCCTGCCACTCCCCCTGCTTGTGCTCTCTCTCTCTGACAAATAAATAAATAAAATCTTTAAAAAAATAAATAAAAATAAATTAAAAAGTCTTGTTGATATTGATTAAATGAGTTTTAAAGTCAATATTTACCTTTTTCTTGCACCTGATTGGGTAGAACTCAAGCAAACATTGATGGTTAAAGCAGTTGGAACCTGGCATTTACACTGGGTAGGTGATTCAATACCTTTCTGCAGCTGACACTTTGTTCTGTAGCAGGAAGAGATAAAGATGGGGTAATATGTGGAGCTCTTTAGATGATCTTTAACCTTGAATGTCTGTTTAATAAGAAAAAAAAGGTTAGGACTAGTTCTGTATAACCAAACTCATGAGAACATAACACATGCATGTATGCTCAGTGTTGGCTTGGGATTTGTCTCAGTTGCTGTGGCCTGTCCTGGTTGGTTTGATGTACTTGCTGACTGGAAACCCCCTTCCATGGCAAATTCACACTCAATTTATTCTGACTCAGGTCTGCTTTTTTTTTCTTTTAAAATTTCTTTCTGTATAGTTTGTTTATAGTTTCTTTACTTTCCCTTTATCACCTCATTTCCAAGTCCATATTGATATTTATTTAGTTGGTCCTCTGGGAAGAGAATACCAGTGCCTTTTGGGGTGAGGGGAGAGCTGGGTTTTTTTGCCCCAAAAGTGGCCAAAAATAAAAAGTATTTTGTTTCTATTAGCTGTCTTTTTTGAAGGACTGACTTTCTTTTTAGACCTTTAAGATTGTGAAATACAACATGCAGAAAAAGTATATAAACAAATGTGTGATAAAATCAATAATTTAAAACAAATATCCATGTAGCTACCACCGAGATTCATTCTTAAAGTTCCCCATGTGTGCACTTCCTCCCATTCTGTCTTGTGGGGGGTGGGGGGCATGGAGAGTTTGTGAAGAATTAGTATTATTCTTTAAATTTTTAATATTTAATAATAACAAATAATTTAAATATAAATTATTCTTTAAAATTCTTTGTTAGAATTTACTGTCAAAGCCATTAAGGCCTGAACTTTTCTTGTGGATAGTTTGTTGATTGCTATTACTATCAGCAAAGTCCTCAATACTGAATGACTTTTTAAGAATCTTTTATCTTTGGACAGATGAAGATGATTATGCTTACAACACAGCATCCCAGAATATGCTCAACCACAGCTGGAAGACATCTGTAAACCTTTGTGCATTGATTCAAACTCCTGGAGTTTGGGACCCTTTTGTGAAGAGTTATGTAGAGGCAAGTAGCCTTCTCATAAAGTTTTATTAGTTTCATTTTGTTATAAGCCTTATCTTTATTGATCAGAAGGTAACTAAATGGAGAAAATTGTTTTAAAAAAAGAGGGATGCCTGGTTAGCTCAGTCAGTGGAACATGCAACTCTTGATCTCCGGGTTGTGAGTTTGAGCTCCGCGTTGGTTATAGAGATTACATAAGATAAAATCTTAAAATAAATACAGTTTTTTTTAAAAATTGAAAAGAGAGAATATGTCTCTTTTTGGTCTGAATAATTTTTATTTTACTAATACACTGTAAATGTTACTGTTTTTTTTTCTTCACCACTGGATAACATGTTATGGTCAGATATTTATAAAATAAATATCCATATAGTTTGTAAATGTTAATTCTATATTATTCTTACTGATCTTAAAAGAAAAGAAGAGAGATATCTTACAATTTGGTGGGGATAGAGAAGACCAGGGGACAAAAATCTGAAAGTGGGTCACAGTACATGGGATGAAGACTAGTGCCTTTTAGGCAGTTCATTAGGGTGCCGTGCCGGCTCATCTCAGATCAGTGTGAAAGGACAGGGAGCCTTGGCATGGGCACCAGGAATAAATCTTCAAAATAATTGGCTTTTTGAAAGTTTCCTGGATGCTAATATGATCATTACGTTGTCAAAAGATAATCTCTGAAACCACATGCCAGTGAATCTGGGAATTCCCATGTATGGGGGGGAATGAAAGGAAAGGAGTTCTGGTTCCCGTGTACCCCTTTTGTGGCTGAAGTTGTGTCGGGCACTGAGGTTAGTTGCCTCATATGGTCTCCTTCCTTTGTTAGTGTGCCCTCCTTGAGGACTTCGTTTCTTATAGGAATAGCTCCTTGGTTGAAATTGCTGCGTTTTTCAGTAACAAACATGTGATAAGGAAGAAATGGGAACCCACGTAGGCCTTTGTTGTAAGTGGTCTGTGTTCCATAGAGTTGTGACATATGCTGGTGAAAGCAAAAACTGGCATTACTGTTGTTCCTTTTACAGTAAGTGCTATTTGTCATTTTAATGAGTTTTGGTACCCATCAACAGAGTTAAGTTGTGCATTATCTTTCATACAGCTATTCTACAGAATTTAGCTAAGACATTATGACTTATTTTATATAGATGTTGGAATTCTATGGGGATCAAGATGGAGCCCGAGAGGTACTCACCAATTATGCCTATGATGAAAAGTTCCCATCGAATCCAAATGCTCATATCTACTTATACAACTTTCTAAAGAGAGAGAAGGCACCGAGAGAGAAACTGATAAGTGTGCTTAAGGTATAAAATGTTTACTTCAATGCTTGAATCAGGTTGGGGATCTACTTTAAAACATTCTTAGGGGCGTCTGGCCGGCTAAGTTGGTGGAGCATGAAACTCTTGACCTCAGGATCATGAGTTCAAGCCCCGCGTTGGGTGTAGAGATTACTAAAAAAAAAAAAAAAAAAGTTAATTTTTAAACATCCTTAGATCATCCATTCCAGCTTTCAAATTCTAGCACTCATAGCAAATGACTGTGTGTGCCCTGAGGTGGACATACAAGGCTGCAGGCTCTGGGTGACCCTCCACTGCCATTCCCCCACCACCCTGCCCAAGTTAGGCTGAGGGCAGAGGATCAGTATTTTGGAAATCCCACCCTTGTGGGAAAGTTCTGCTTTGATATTTTTTGAAAATCAGCTTTATTGAAATTTAATTTACATAGAGTAAAACACTTATTTTAAGTATACACTTGAATGCTTTAAAAAATTTTTTTTTAGATATTTATTTAGAGGGGTGGGGTGGGGAGAGAGAGGCTCTCTCCCTGTGTGGAGCCTGATGTGGGGCTCGATCTCACGACCCTGAGATCATGACTGAACCGAAATCAGGAGTCAGACGCTTAGCTGATAGGGCCCCAAGAAAAATTCTTATCTATTAATCTTCTTTTAAAAAGTACATTTGCTGGGGCACCCGGCTGGCTCAGTTGGTGGAGTGTGCGACTCTTGATCTTGGAGTTGTGAGTTCGAGCCCCACATTGGGTGTAGAGATTTCTTAAAAGTAAAATCTTAAAAAAGTCCATTAACTCTAATCTATACTTAGGTGTTTATCAAAATTGACACTACCAAAACTCCATATGTGGAAACTGTACATTTTAAAGTTTCAACAGGCTTTATTTCAATGCAGAGTATTTTTAAAGTTGGTATTTTATTGTCCAAGATTTCTTTTTATCCATTTGTACAACAAAATATTAAGGAGAGTTATATCAAAAGATCAAGGTGACTTCACTTAGATTGTCAATCACTAATGGTATTTTTGAAAATACTTTAAAAAATGTAACAGGGGCCCCTGGCTGACACAGTCGGTAGAGCATGCAACTGTTGACTTCAGGGTTGTGGGTTCAAGCCCCATGTTGGTGTAGATTACTTAAAAACACAATCTTAAAAAAAAGTAACAGAAAACTATGTTGAACACTTAATTATGTTCAAGACAAAGTGGATTTAGGGAAATTCTGTTTTCCTGTTGAAAAATTCAGTGTTTGAAATTAAGAACTCAGTAGATGGGCTTGATAGCTGATTGAACATAGCAGAAGGAGGTTAATGAACTGTATAGAAAATAGGCTAAAGCACAGAAAGCAGAAAGGATGAAAGGGTATACAGAGGACTTGGCTAAGGTCTGACATAGTTGTGATTGGAATTCCAGCGAGAGGAGAGAGAACAGGGCAAAAGCAGGTAAACAAAACTAGCATTTGAAGAGTTAATGGCTAAGAATTCTCCAAAACTAAAGACTACTACCGTTCTGATAACGTTCTAACTTTTGATCTGGGTACTGAATATATGAGTGCATATAACTTTGTAAGAATATGTTGAATGGCACACTCATCATTTGTATACATTTTTATTACATGTATTTCAATAAAAAGTTTTTAAAAACCTAAGTGAATTGAGCCATTTGCAGAATTCCCTAAATCATAAGACAAATGTGATTTCATAGGAACCAAGTTGTAAAAATACTCTGATGTTGGTATATTGATTGTGATTGATCTCCACTTAAAAAACTATTAAACTATTGGGCGCCTGGGTGGCTCAGTTGGTTAAGCGACTGCCTTCAGCTCAGGTCATGATCCTGGAGTCCCAGGATCAAGTCCTGCATCGGGCTCCCTGCTCAGCAGGGAGTCTGCTTCTCCCTCTGCCCCTCCCCCTCTCATGTGCGTGCTCTCTCTCTCTCTCTCTCATTCTCTCTCTCAAATAAATAAATAAAATCTTTAAAAAAAAACTATTAAACTATTAAGAGTAATTAATAAAATTTACTTTTCATTTTGTAGGAAATAATTTCAGTGTTAGGTCAAAAGGACCCCAGCAAGCAGACAGAATAAATTGATTTCTAATGTGAAGTATATTGAAATGAAAAATATAATTTTACTTTAAATCCTGTTTTACATATTCATAAAAATAGTCTTTCTTATTCTTAAATGAATAAGAAGGAATTAAAAACCTTTAATTTCTCCCTATTGTGTAAAATGGTAAAAATATTTTCTTGAATACTCTTGCTGTACTGTGTCCCTGAACACAGTCTTCCAAAATAGCCACCCCTGCCCTTTTGGGCTTTTTGATTTATATAAATATTTGTGATCAGTAAATATTTATTGTCTTTTTTGTGTGTGATTTTGATGCTTTTTTTTTTCCTGGTTTCTGAAAAGAAATTTTTAAGTGTGGTAAACAATATAAAAATATTTAAGGAGTAAATAAAAAGTTCTTATCTATTTCCCCTACCCTCCCCCCTGACTTTCTTGTTATTAACAGGGATTTTTGTTTTTAAAGATTTTATTTATTTATTTGAGAGAGAGAGCAAGAGAGATCAGAGAGGGGGAGGGAGAAGCAGACTCCCCACTGAGCATGGAGCCCAACTTGTGGCTCCATCCCAGGACCCTGAGATCATGACCCCAGGCGAAGGCAGACACTTAACCAACTGAGCCACAGCCCCCCTAACAGGGATTTTTTTAAAGGAAGCTTTACACAGGACACCTTTCTATACCCAAATTGAAACTGGATGAAAGCAAAGTATCTTTTAAATCCTTGATTCATTTACTGAGGGATTTATTAGACAGTAAGAACTTTATTTGAAAGTAAAATTAGGGGCGCCTGGGTGGCTCAGTTGTTAAGTGTCTGCCTTCGGCTCAGGTCATGATCCCAGGGTCCTGGGATCGAGCCCCAGGTTGAGTTCCCTGCCCAACGGGAGGCCTGCTTCTCCCTCTCCCACTCCCCCTGCTTGTATTCCCTCTCTCGCTGTGTCTCTCCGTGAAATAAATAAATAAAATCTTTAAAAAAAAGGAAAATTAAATTTGAGAAATGCCTTTGAAATGTATAAAAATTACAAGATTATTTTTTCTTCCAGATTTTGTATCAGATTGTACCATCTCATAAACTGATGTTAGAATTCCATAGGTTACTGAGGAAATCAGGTAAATAGTTTTTGTTTTATATCTCTTTGTGCAGACAAGCTATAGACTAGCAAACTATGGCCCATGGGCCAAATCCACTCCTCACCTGTTTTTATAAATCAAGTTCTCTTGGAGCATTTTTGTGTTGTCTACGGCTTTTGCACTACAACAGCAGAGTTGTGTAGTTGTGACAAAGACCATATGGCTCACAAAGCTTAACTATTTGCTATGTGTCCCTTTATAGGAAAAGTTTGCTGACCTCTGCTATAGAATATTAGGTAGTAGCACAAGCAAAATGGCTTCAATTTGTATAATTCACCTCGTTTTAATCTCTACTGCATTTCAGCTCGGTATAGAAAAGAACATAGTTCTTCATAGAAGGAAGTCAGCTTAAGTCCAGTAGGTACTAGGGCTACGTCAGTCTTCTCATGTTAGAAGAGAGAGCAGGTTCTTTAAGTAATGTCCTCCCTCAGTAGAATGTAGCCCATTTAGAAATCAGACCCACCGAAGGCAGACGGGTAATGACTGAGACACTTCGGCTCAGGTCGTGATCCGGGGTTTTAGGATCGAGTCCCGCATTGGGCTCCCTTCTCACTGGGAAGCCTGCTTCTCCCTCTGCCATTCCCCCTGCTTGCGTTCCCTCTCTCACTGTGTCTCTCTCTGTCAAATAAATAAATAAAATCTTTAAAAAAAAAAAGAAATCAGACCCACCACTCTGACTTCATTAGCCAGGACTAAATTACTGAATTTTTCAGATTTATCACAGGAGAGTATAAGCATAATGAGTTATTTTAAACTGTTAACCAAACTAGAAGGCTTATAACTCTAGTATTTTATCAATAAAATATATATATTTTTAGCCCTGTGCACTTCAGTACTTTGTGTAAGCTCTAATTGTTGTGCCCATTGCAGAAAAAGAAGACCACCATAAACTGGGGTTGGAGGTATTATTTGGAGTCTTAGATTTTGCTGGATGCACTAAAAATATAACTGCTTGGAAATATTTGGCAAAATATCTGAGACAGACTTTAATGGGGTAAGTAAAAGACACAGTGTTTATTACTGGATCAGCATCAGTAAAATTTCCCAGTACTTTAGCTGATATCTCTCAATGTTTAAACAAAGTTCTTTGCTTATGGGTTTTTTTTTTTTTTTGATTTCTTGAACTGTGTCCTCAGCTGTTCTGAGTACATCAGAAGCAAGAAAATACAGTCCCAAGTAAAACATACAAAAATTCTATTAAGATTTTTATGCTGTCAAAATAAGTACTGTGCCTTACCACTGCAGTATTAGGGAAGTTGTACGTTTTCAAGTTGGAAATAATGGCAAAAAGTGGTCATTCCCACTCTTCGCTAGACTCTTTGTAGAGCTCTTGGTAATCTGTGTGTCATCATCTTGTAAGATCACATAGGAAGCAGCTTTTCTTCCAGCTGTTTTTCAGTAATTTTCAGTGGGGCTTTGAGGGCCTCATAAGATCATCGTAGCAAATATTTGTTAAGTCCATTGTGAGCTATATCTGAAACTATACCTGTGATCATGATATCATTAGTGCCACATTTCGAGTGACGGCAGGAGTGGTCCTGGTCATTTTTACTTTGTGAGAGGAAGGGATTAACTTTGTGACAAAGTTGTTTCATTTATTTATCCTATCCATCTTAATTGGTTAGAAGCTTCATCATCGATGGGAACTTCTGTCAGGCTTCAGATCTGACCTGACCTTGGAGATGGAAGAGGGCTGATTATAAAATGGTTTTGGTGTGATAACTATAAACCACTTTCCACATCTACAGCAGTATGTAAACCCCAACTAACTGCAAGATTCATGAAGGCAGAGAAATGTACTACTCAGTTTTTTAAACCTCTAGAAGTTCTGCCACGGGGACACATGGGTGCTAATAAGTATTTGCTCAATTAAATTATTGACAAACACTTAGCATTGTCTGGGTTCAACTGTCAAACCTGTGTGTTCACGTATTTGTATAATAATGGCATCTTAATTTGAGTAGTAATTCTTTGTAGCATATAAAGTAAGGTTTTAAAGTAATTTTTAAGTGATAATCATCATAGCTAACATTTATTGAACATTTACTAAGTACCAGACAACATGCAAAGAGCTTTATATGAGACCACTATACTCCTGGGCCTGTTTAATCTAATAACAATGCTGTGAGATGGGGACTGTTAATAGCTTAACAGAGATTGAGGCTCAGAGAAGTTAAGGAACTTGCCCAGGATCACATAGATAGTAAATGGAAGATCTGATTTTCAAATCCAGGATTCTGAGTTCAGGGTGTGTGCTGTTAACCGCTGTGTGTACCGAACTGGCTATTTAATGAAATGGAAAGCAGAAATCAAAGAACTAAAAAGGATTTGCTTTCATGCATGTGCTATACCATGGATGGCCACACTCAGAAATTAGAACATCTTCCTTGTCATCTTTCCACAGACTTTTTTTTTTTTTCCCGACTGGGAAAATAACTATTTGGGGTGGGGGGTGTGGACAGATGTCTCAGAATTTCTGGGATTGCTTCTTGGTGCCAGTGGCCTTTGTGACTTGGAGCATGTTGAAGCACAGTCTTAACCAACTGAGCCACCCAGGCGCCCCTGTTGAAGCACAGTCTTGCTCGAGGACTGGTACTTGCCCACTGTGACCATGTCACCGATCTGGACATCCCTGAAGCAGGGGGGACAGGTGCACAGACATGTTCCTGTGGCGTTTCTTGAAGCAATTGTACTTTTGGGTATAGTGGAGGTAGTCTCAGCAGATGACAGTGGTCCTCTGCAACTTCATCTTGGTTGGTCACCACACTAGACAGAATCTGCCCGTGGATGGAGACGTTACCAGTAAAGGGGCATTTCTTATCAGTATAGGTGCCCTCAGTGGCCTCCTTGGGCATCTTGAAGCCCAGACTGATGTTTTTATAGTATTGCAGGAGCTTCTCCTTGCCTGTTCCTCCAAGCAGGACCCTCTTCTCATTTTGAGAGATGGTTGGCTGCTTTGGTAGACAGCCTCAGTCTGAATATCTGCCATCTTCCCGGCTGCCTGAAAAGGGACTCCACAGACTCTTCTTAAGTTCAAATTCTGGCAGTATAGGTCCTCCTCCATCACTGACCTTCCCTTTTGACATTTTTCTTTTCTAGGAATCACCTTGCCTGGGTTCAAGAAGAGTGGAACTCCAGGAAAAACTGGTGGCCAGGCTTTCACTTCAGCTCCTTTTGGGCAAAAGGCGACTGGAAAGAGGATAAAGCATTGGCTTGTGAGAAAGCTTTGGTAGCTGGAATATTGTTAGGAAAAGGTACAAGGTTTTGTTTTCTTCTTATCTAGACATAGCTTTTGGATGATTTTGAAATTACAAAGGGTGGACCGTTCACTCATGCCACAGCTTACTGGGTAATTGCCCAAGGACATCAGAGGCTGGAGAAATAACTGGCAGATGGGAAAGTGAATGTTGAGTTGGGGCCAGGTGATCTGCTTGTCAGGGCTGTCCATGGACTAGAAGCAGTGATTTCATCTTGTTGATTGTGGTGGTTGGTTTTTATGCTGTAACTTGAGTATCTTTAGGGGCCAATTAAGATAGAGGATGCAGACTATTTCACAGCAACTGTATAGAAAGCTTACTGATGGTATCTACCTTACAGTATTAGAAAGAAAAAAAAGAAAAATAATAAAGAAAAATACTCTTCGGTGACCTCATTGTTGTGTAATTGCTATTATAATTACCTGTCTGTTCCTATAAGGATGAAACATTTCTCCCCTTAAAAAAAGTGTACCTCCTATAACTTATTTCAAAATCCTCTTGAAAGAAAGGGAAATTAATCTTTTCTCTGTGGACTATCTTGGCTGTGAAAACTCTGCTTTGTGCCACCGCCGCTGGGTCTGTTAAGAGATGAAGCAAACGTAAGCAGTCTGTTGCTAGAGAATTCAGAGTGTCCTAAAGAGCTTCTTCAGCTTGGTTTTAGATACGGTTGATACTATTTTGGAATTAGTATTCTCAGTGAGTGTTTCAGATGGTTACTAAGGTCAATAAAATGCCAGTTTCTCAGAGGAAGGGGACAAATAAATATGAAAGCAATTGTAAGATTTCTAAACACACGTCAAGGAACAGAAGTGTGCTTCAGACTGTGATTTTCTACTGCTTATGAGCATAGAGGCAGCCGGTACAGTTACCGAAAGGTGTCTGTGTTTGAGCAAAGTCTGAAAACCTGGGCTGATTTTCCAATTTTATCACCTTTCCCTGTCACTTAGGTCCAACAGTTAACCTTTGGGAGACTTCTGTGTGATTGGCTTTGTTAACACCTGTCCGCGTTGCTTACAGGATGGTTGTAAGCATCAAGTGAGCATCACATTGAAGTGCTTTATACATTCAGAGAAGTACTCTATGAATATTAGGTATAATCATGCCTGAAAAGGGTTCCATCTCTTCTTTCGGGCCTTAGTGTCGGGGTTCAGTCAATCTGTTCAGGAGTTGAACTGGGTTTGGTCTGTGCTCGGGTGACCCTCATTATATCACAGGATTCAGTTCTGGTCATGGTCTGCCTTCGCCTCATGCTTAGAGTAGGGTATGGTGGCTGCCCTTCTTCCCCTGCTCTGCTAAGGCAAGCCAGGCCCTTTCCCCTCGTGACTCCACGTCTGGTGGCTCGTGAGGAGGTAGGAGCTAGTAGTTTATTTGGCTTTTTCTCTGTGTTGGGGTGGGAGCTAAATTCTCCATCTTTCTGTATTCTAGATAGAAGCAGAGGTCTGTGTACAAAGTATTTTGGTTTTGCTAAAGTGGTAGGTGTGTTTAGAAGTACAAGTTATTTTATGAACACCACAGACACCACTGCTTCCCAGCTAATAAAATATTAGTAATTCTGCCAGACTGTTTTCAGGGATAATAAAATGGTTACCGTAGATACAATATATTTCCTAGCAGTTTCCTAGAGCAGATGGATGGATAGGTACATGCTGAGACTATAATGAAGTTAGTTTTTCTTAGGTGATTTATGGTCTTGCTCATTTATCAAATATAAAAAAAAAACTCTTGTAATATCCCGCTTACATTTTTTTTTAAAGAAATTTGATTCATCTCTGAATTACTTAACTAGTGATCTGCCTAGCATTGTAAGACTATGAAAAGCAGGTAGAAGGAACTTCTCATGAGCACGAGGCTCCTTTCTCAGAGCTGCACAGTCACCATCCGGCTGCTCACTAAGTGCTGGAATGACTAGCTAAGTTTTGATCTCTTCTGACCTGTGAGTTGTTTATTCTAATCCTCACCTGAGAGTTTTCTTACAGAGAACTTTCTTATTGTTACAGATTCCTCCTGGGCTGTTTCACAAGCTAACAAGCTAACATTGAAAGGGAAGCTGTAATTTGCTTTTGGAGAAGGCGTGTTTAAGATATGAATATGTGTATAATACATGTATCACCTTAACAAGGGCTTGGAAGGCAGGGTGAGAAACCAGTTGAAGTACTTGCTCTGATTATGATGGATCAGAAATGTTTTCGTAGGTAGGAAGTGTACATTTCATTGGTAACAGCCCTTAGAATGTGTTCATACTGGTATACATCATACAGATCCCCCCCATTTTCATAATCATTAGTATGCCAGAGCTGAAGCAAAATTTTAGAAATGTAGAAATATACTTGAAGAATTGATAAGTATTAAAACTCTTTGTTTATTTTGTTTTTTTAGGTTGCAGATATTTTCGATTTATCTCCAAACAAGATGATGAAGTCTTAAGGAAAAAAATTAAGCAGATAAAGAAGTCAGTGAAAAAACACAGTATTGTAAATCCAGGACTCTGATATTGAATATCAGTTATTTCAGATGAGTAGCTGCAGAATACTAGCTCGGTGCGTAATTATTGAATGTATTATTCATTTGGTGTTTCTAGGAGGTAGTTTATATGGCTGCAGAAAAGTTATTTTTATATTTTTTTATATTCTCTTTTATTATAATTATAGCTAAATAAACAGCCTCACTGCCTTTGTTCTTTGTAAATACATATTTTTCCTTTTTTGTACTGCGAAATATAGTATTTATTATGGAATAACCTCCACATAAGAAATACATTTGTTTAATCAGAGAATACAGTTGTATAGCAGTTATTGCCATTTGCAAATAATTTGCTTCTGACTATTGTATAATAAAGCATAACTTGTAGTATTGTTAAGTGAATTTATATTCTTTAAGATTCTCAATGATCCATGTTAGGTTTACCATCATAAAGAATATACTGGGGGGGGCGCCTGGGTAGCTCTGTTGCTTGAGTGTCCAGCTCTTGATTTTGGCTCAGGTCATGATCTCAGGGTCATGAGATCAAGCCCCTTATCAGGCTCTGCACTCAGCGGGGGCGTCTGCTTCTCTCCCTCTGCCCCTTCTCCTGCTCCCAAGTGCTTGGAAGCACGTGCGTGCACATTCTCTTTCTCTCAAATAAATAAATCTTTAAAAAAAAAATATATTGGTCATGAGGTCTGTTGAGGAATTTTGGAAACAGAGAAGGATTTAGGAAAGGAATCCTCTTTCTTTTTTGATATTAAGACATGTCAGTCTGGGGCTAACTGGCCTGACATAGAGCTACCTTTGACTCTAGAAGACTAATTTGGGTCAGAGAGGGTAGAAGGGTGGCCTAACTTCAGAGGGCTCTAGTTTGTTGTTGTTTTGCTGGGCACAGCAATCATCTAAGACATGCTCTGGAACTCCTTTGTCCCTCACCTTTCTCTTGGAACCTGGGATGTGGCAGTCGGCAGCTGGACAGTGGAAGAGAATCTGCCAGTGAAATAGTGTCCCAGCGTCACCCAGTCAGCCCAGTGGGAAAGCGCGGTGCAGAAGCCAGGAACAGCTTTCCTGGAACAGGATTTGGAGCTTTATAATATGTTGTGGTAACTAGTAGAGCGAGTGCTTCTTCCAGACTGGCTCGGCTCTTACACCCTATGGTTCAGATAACTTGTTTTTGAGTTCCAGGAAGACCCACTAACTTTAGAGCACGTCCTGTGTTTAGATGGCAAACCACACATTTTCCCCATGGCTTATGCTCCTACTAATTTAAAACCATCTGCAAGAGGGGCGCCTGGGTGGCTCAGTTGGTTAAGCGTCTGCCTTTGGCTCAGCTTGGGTCATGATCTCGGGGTCCAGGGATCCAACCCCTACATCAGGCTCCCTGCACAGGGGAGAGTCTCTGCTTCTCCCTCTCCCTCTGCCCCTCCCCCTTGCTCCTGCTCTCTCTCTCTGCTCTCTCTTTCTCAAATAAATAAAATCTTAAAAAAAAAAAAAAAATCTGCAAGAAAATGGGGGGACAAATTATGCTTTGTCAATAATTTGATTCAGTATTTTATACTTAGTGAGATGACTATCAACAAATAACTACTCATCCTTATAATATACACAGGAAACAAGTAGGTGCCCCACAGACCAACGTGAACCAAGTTCAAGCTACCACATGAGTAGAGCCGCTTTACTTCCGGGAGTTGGTGAGTGGGTTGTGTAGGAATTCTGCAGAAGAGCAACACTATAGGAATGAAATCCCCGGATGACAGACAAAATCTCAAGGCATAGGCTGGGATTGTCACGGCATCTGCTCCTTGAAACCTTTAGTCAAAGCTGTTCAACAGGACTGATGAGTTCTCATGATCTCTGGCAAATGGAGGTGGGATGAAAGAGAAATGAGTAGATACGGTTCTTGGTTTCCACACAAAGCTTAGTTTGCTAGAGCTTTTATATCAAATGTTCATATCACATTAGGCAGTAAGAGCAGTGCGAATCAACTGAAATTTTTTTAGGTCCACTAAAGTCAGTTTCATGAATTATTATGGCTAAAATTTATCAAGCACTTCGGGCTTTACATTTTATCTTACTGTCACCAGAATCCTAAGACTTATACCTGTTTTACCTAGAAAAAAAAATGGGGCTTCACAGATTAAGTGACTTGCACAAGGTCAGAGCTGGTAGGTGTTGGCACCAGGACCTTGACCTGACCAGTGTGGTCCCAAAGATCACACTCTGTCCTGTCTATACTGCCTCCCAGTTTAGTCAGTCTTTCTAACCTGCAGAGCACTGAGCTAGGTAGCAAGGCGAAGAACAGAGGGGATTCATAACCCAGGGCCTATCAGCTCCAGCAAAACCTGTCCTCTCTGCCAGGCTACTTGGTAGGTTCCCTGTCTGTGTCCTTACTGGTCCCTCCCTACACAGCCTCTTATCAAATCACTGCATTGTTACATTGTCTTTGCACATCTGTCTTTCTTGATGGTATATTATTTGGGCTTAATAATCTCCTGTTGTCAGCCCCTAACAATTTCTAGCTCATTAAATACTGAGTAGAACTGAATGGAAATTAGTGAAAGTTACGGAGCTGGTGTGCCCGTACCATAGGGAGTCATATCTTGGGGTGCCTATGCCAAGTGTGCAGCCTCGGGAGACTGTTCGGCTTGAATTCTGGGTTTATCATTAGGTAGTTCTGTGACTTCTTGGGCAGGTTACTGAGCTTTCATAGTTCCTTTACCTGTAGATGAGAGACAGGAGGATTTATCTCATCGGATTGCTATGAAAAATGAAAAATATAGTGAATGCCTAGGATAATAATACTTAACATATCTTAAGTAAGTGACCATCCATCATGATGGTTTTAGACACTAAATAACAGGCACTAAATAAAGATAATTTAAAGTCTTGTTTTCTTGGGGCGTCTGGGTGGCTCAGTTGGTTGAGTGACTGCCTTCGGCTCAGGTCATGATCCTGGAGTCCTGGGATTGAGTCCCACATCGGGCTTCCTGCTCAGCAGGGAGTCTGCTTCTCCCTCTGACCCTTCCCCCTCTCCTGCTCTCACTCTCTCAAATAAATAAAATCTTTTTTTAAAAAAGTCTTGTTTTCTCCTAGAAACCTCTGAAATACAGAAATTGTGTAATAGTTGAGTTACGCTTCCCACTAAAATACACCTATCTTTCAAGCTATGTACCATCCAGCCATCAACCATGGACTTGAGGGCTTCACACATATTGAGATCACTCAGTCCACACAGTTCCTCCTTGCTCAACTGCCCCAGTCTCTGATCTCTGGCTCATCAGCTTAGTGGGACTGCCGTGCTTTGCTTGGACTGTGGCCCAATGCACTGCTCGTGAGAAGTTGTCCTGAGATAGAGAGGTTAGACTGTTGTAGAACTTACTTTGAGTTTCACTTCGGTAATCCCAGTCTTGTGTTGTCTGTTGCCCACTATTTTGAAAACAGTTGTCTCATATTTTATCTAGATTAAATAATGTGTAAACTAATGAAATTAAATTAGGGCCTTTGCCTACCAAATGATACCTTTAAGAAAATTAAATACAGTCTATTAAAAGAAGTATTTGTGGGGCACCTGGCTGGCTCAGTTGGTAGAGCATGCGACTCTTGATCTCTGGGTTGTCTTAAAAAAAAAAAAAAGTCTTACTGAGAAAAACATATAACCATATACATTCAACATATACATTAGTCATTAGTTCTAACTAATGACTGAAATGTTTATATGTATATGTATTTGCAACACATGAACTGACAAAAGATTAAAATAAATTCAAATCAGTAAGCAGGACAAAGAACCCAATAGAAGTATTTCACAGAAGAGGGTAAACATGGACCATAAACACATAAGTCAGGGAAATGCAAAACAAGAGTGTAGTGGAATACCAGTTCAGACCCGTTCAATTAGCAAAAATTAAGATACTGAGGTTGAAGAGGATGTGGATCCACAGAGTCTCTTGCACATAGCTGATGGGGTGTAAAATATTGCAGTCATTTTAGGAAACGTTGCTTTACCATTTACTAAGACTATCCTCGAGTGTTTACTTGAGAAATGTTTGTACATGTAAGCCAAGAGACAATATAGCACAGTTCATAATAGCGGAAAAACTAGAAAAAAACCCACAAATGCCCATTGGCATGAGACTGGATAAATTGTGGTAGAGTCATGTAAAGAAAAATGAGCAAGCCATAGCTTTATACACCAACATAGGTGGGTCTCAGTAACATACCGGGTAAAAGAAATGAGTCCCAACTTACTACTCTATGACTACATGGAGTTCAAACTTTATTATAAAGTTCAAACTAATGACTAAAATGTTTGTAAATGCATATAGATTGTGATGAAACTACATATAAAAACACAAGAGAAGAGTAAACACAAGTGGTTATATCTGGATGGGAGAAGCAGAGCGATAGGATGGAGGAAAAGCACAGTAAGGGATGTGAATTACTATTAATGGTCTAGTTTTTTACTTTTTTTTTTTAAAGATTTTATTTATTTGACAGAGCACAAGCAGGGGGACTGGCAGGCAGAGGCAGAGGGAGAAGTAGGCTCCCTGCAGAGCAGGGGGAGCCCGACGCAGGACTCGATTCCAGGACCCTGGGATCATGACCTGAGCCGAAGGCAGTCGCTTAACCAACTGAGCCACCCAGGCGCCCGATGCTCTAGTTTTTTAAGTGTCAGGCTCTTCATGGACTATTGTTGACAGTGTATTATGAACCAAGGATTGTGATTTATCCCATTTTGTTCACAGGTTATTTTAAACAATGAAAAGGACCATATAATATATGATTCCATTTATATGAAATGTCCAGAATAAGCAAGTCTACAGAAATGGAAGAAAGTAAGATTAGAGATTGCCTAGGGCAGGGGAAGGGGCAGTGGATGGGAAGATGAGGTGGGAGTGATAGTCAAAGGGTACAGGGTTTCTTTGGGGGTGATGAAAATATCCCCAATTTGGGGTGATGGTTGCACAATTCACTCTGTTGAATATACTAAAAAGCATGTAATTGCACACTGTAAACAAGTTTATTATGTGGTGTGTGAATTTTATCAGTGACGCTTAGCAAAAAGAAACAAAACCAAAAAATTAAGCTTTATGGAGTCAGAAAGTTCTGGATTCAACAGAGCACCTCACCGAACTGAGCCTCAGGTTTATTATGTAAAATGGGGTGATCTGAGAAATGTTTAGCATGAGTCTTGGTGTATTGTTTTTCTCAATAAATGGTAATATTATTATGAACCAAAAAAAGGAAAAGAAAAAAATGAACACAACCATTCTTTTTTTTTTCTTAAAGATTTTATTTATTTTATTTGAG